TGTTAATTTTCAAGGAATCTTTTTAATGGCTTTAATACTTGTAGTGTTCTCTTGTTTTCACAGAGAATGCCATATACACATTCACAGAGTAAATATATTTGACTAATAAAAGAACAGGTGCACGTAGTCAATGCCGCCTCTAGAGGCGGTGTTGACGTGTAGAGAGAAATACATTGACGGGAAAATTTTATGTTTCCTTGCTGATTTGCTGGATTGATTGAAATTTTAATCAATTATTTCCTACCAACACATGTGTGAAAGACAGTGATTAAGTTTTGAGGAGAACGGAAAGTTGAAATTTCCATAGTCATTATGGAAACGTTCAAAGTTTGCAGTTTATATTTATAGATAAAGAGAGGACATACGGACAATCGATATTAAATTTTGAACAAAATTCTACAAATTGATGCATCAGCTGGAACAACGTTGTAAGCGACATATTCAAAATTTTACAGGAGAGGATAACATCGATTACATGAAACTTTTAATGCCATCGGAGCTATATGCACTTCTGATACTTGTATGTGTCTTAAGTAATCTGTTTCAGGAAGGAAAATGTTCTAGAAAGAATGTTCTAGAACTTATAAATGAATATAATTTTATTCCATGGAACAACGTTACATTTGCAGAACACATACAATGTTATTAATCTATTATAGTACTTCTGGAAATTATAAATCGGCAGGAAAACTTGAAAATGCTCGAGGACTTATTGATTCCCCATTTTGAGTACATGATTGTGATATTCAGATCTGCAGATAAGCATTCCTTATTTACCTTGTGGCGGGAGTAATAGCTCTCCTGCTGGGAAAAAGATGCAATATATTCCCTTGCACTTTTTCTTACTTGTCCTGTTGTGGAAAAGGGTCGATTCTTGTGGATCCCTCTTTCCACAATTATGTCTCTATTTATTTTCAGTTTTTCAACCAGTATTTCAAGTCTTCACGGTGACACTTTCAAGCTATCACACAATGTTTTGTGGCAAACACATTCCCTTTTTCTGTTTAATAACGTATAATATGAAATGGTACAGTGCTTATGAGACACACATTCCGAAGTTCTTTTCGACTCTGAAATCGTCTTACTCTGATGTGTTAGAAATACTGAATGTTCATCATAACATAGTGTACGGAACTTCTCAAAGAGCGACCCTTTCAGGACACAATTTATTTCGGCATTGCATACAACTCTGCACTTACAGGATACATTCTGAAATATATAATCTAGTTTAATTACATTGATGCTATTATGTTCATCAAAAACTAATTATAACACAGAATGCATAACCTGTGTCGGATACAACATTGTTTCAACCACCTCGTTTTGACGCTTCAATACTGGTTTTCTTACATTCCTAGAGCTTATATATTCTTCACTAGAATATACGCATTTGTTTACATTACACTTCCACTTTTCAACATTCCTTCTTCTTTTCTTGCCCCTGTTTCTGCCTTTGAGAGTGGACGGTGAAATATGGGCTCGTTTGCGCAATCTTGCCAGCACTTACAGCGTTGTTCCACGTTATCCCTTATTTGAAGCCAGATTTTTCATGCAAAAATAAACTTAACCATTCTAATAAAATGCCAGCGGGAGAACAGATTCATATACAACAATGTTCCATACAAAAAAAAATTGCACAATGTGTCGCTTACAACGTTGTTCCAGCCGACGTTTCAATTTATGACAAGGAACATAGAAATGTGTGGTTTTGCGAGATTTGTGACAGAATGCCGTATTAATTTCAGAAATAATATTCGTGAAATTAATACGGTAAAGTAGTTAAAGGCTTCTTTGGAAAACATAAAGCTGAGAACTATGTTGAGTTGGTTGAGGCTCTGAATAAAAAGTGCAGCAAAATGGACTGCAGTATATCTCTCAAAATACATATCCTTGATGTCCACCTTGATAGCTTCAGAGAGAGTTTGAGTTCCTATTTGGAGGAACAAGGAGAGCGGTTTTATCACAACATGGGATATTTTGAACGTTGCTACCAGGGAACCTACAATGAACACATGATGGGGTCTTTGTTGGGGAACAGATTATCCAGCCGCTGCAGCAGACGAATCGAGAGACGAACGAACTGAGAGACAGACGGACCGACTGACGGACGGACAGAGACAGAGAAAGGCGTATTGACAGAGACAGTCACACGTAGACGGACAGACGTTTTGCCGCAAACAATTGTTTTTATTTCTAAGATCCATGAATAAGTGAATTCTGACTACACATTCTATTAGAAGAAGTAATTTACCATATACGGAGACAGATTTTGTTTTTGGTACCAGAGTCAGAGAAAAGCTTTTTTGTCGAAAACTCGCGGTTTTTCCCGGTAGAGTTACAACTCTTTATATACTAGAGTGAATTTTATAGTTGACCTACACCTTACATCTTTAATTGTTAGTTTAGCGAGCAATAATGTTACCAAAGTACTTTAACGTTCGAGGTTAAGCAGACTGAAATATTCGAGCAGTTTCGCGCGACCATCTAAATTTACACGTATCTACAGAAGATTAAAGACAGTTAAGGTTATGTTCAAATTTGTACACTCTCAGATCGGTAAAAACAGTTTTATTTGTACCAGACACGATGAAAAATTGAACCAATAAACTTAACCTATTTTCATTACATATAAAAGATGTCCCAAAGACAGTCGAGTTGCAGTTTTCTCAGAAGATGCAGCTCACTCTTAAGCAGCGCAGTTCCAATATTCTCTAGAGAAATCACAGTATTCATAGCATTGTTCGTCAAAACAACAATTTTGTAAATCTCGCCTCCTCACTAGTAGTCTTCTAAGAACACTTCCTATCTTCTCGGCTGCGGCACCTCTCCATTATAGTCCAGAATTTTCGACTCTAGCTTCTCAGCTAGGTCGAATTCAGTTGCTTTCTGGAGGAGAATCTTGCGGTCGGCTGCTCTGATCGGTAGTATTTCATGGTTTCTCCGATCAACATCAGGCAAATGCCGGAGTACCCTAACAAACGGACCACTGCGCGGTTTTTCCTACCTCTTCCTTGTCCTGTCCTCACCCCTTGTACACATTTACACTAACATGCACTACACTACTATACATGCCGGGAGAGCGGTAGTGCTTATGCTGGCTGGGGTGGGGATCCGCATGTGGAAGATATGTACCGACGGAAGATGGACGCCGGAACTCGCCGTACAGCAGGGGAAGAGCAGCGCCACCTCCCTAACAAAACTATGCACAACACTTACAGGACTAATGACCATAGTAGTTGACGCGCCCGGAATCATTAACAATCAATCCATTACACCCCGCTGCGCTGGGTCTAGTTGTTCTGGGCTTGCGCAGTTAAGATTGCTCTTTCATCTGTTGCAAGCACATGCTGAATCTTAATATCAGCTGTGTTGGAGACGGGGCTGAGATAATTACTGAATTGTGACAAGTCAGTGAGATAAAACTCACATTGCCTGCTTATTTCACTTTTGTTCACGTGTATATCAATATTAATGCAATGCGGTATGAAATAAACCTCTAGTACCTATGTAGCATACGCTACGTTCACGTACTTGCTATGAAATGATTACCCCTTTGATATATTTAATTGACACCATTGGCAGTAAACCTTGTAAATCTGTAACTCTTGGATATCGATATCTCTCTCAGTGGTGAGTCAGATGTATTTAACCTTAAAACCCTACGTTGAAAGTATTTCCTATGCATTTTGGAAATATTTCCTACGGCTGGGATTACATAGGACCCGGCGTCTTTACATTTAAAATGTATACAATTCATGTTGTTAACTTGAAGGGAAGGGGAAAATGTGGCTTCTTGTTCTTATGGTAAAAGGACTTTGTTGGATTCCGTAGAGTTCTAATATTTGATTTCAGTTGTGTTTGTAATTCTTTGTTTGTAATAGCCGCTCACATGAATGTTTTTGCTAATGGTAGTGGCAAACGTTTTAGATATAATGTTCTGCTGGCAGAAAATAATGCCATTAGATTTGTAAGCATTTACGCTTGCTGCAATAAGAACCACGTAGAAAAAACAATGGAGCCACTGCTTTGTCACTCAAGCTACTGTTTTGGAATTACAGAGCTTATCACGTACGTCAATGCTTTTGATCATACAACGTAATTTCTGGCTTTTTGCATTCTTCGTCAAATTATCCTTTCGTTTACATAGATGGTAACCAAACCAAGACCTTTTATTAACATGAAATTAAGCAAGTGCATTATCTTTCTGGTACCTAATTTCACACGATATTGAGGGTTCTTGTCTTTATGTTTAACAAAATACTGGGTGAGAAGAAAACTGTATTCTCTCTAAGACTTTAAAATATCCAACACGAGTTTGAATTTTGCTCTCTGTGTCTGATGTATAGGAGTAATCCATGCTCTCTCATGCAAAGCACAACGATAAAATTGAAAATGTAATTTTGAGAATTGAAAAGCCAATTTTTGAGAAGCATCAGCCACCAGAATTTGGTGCAAGGAAAGGCACTTACAACCTCGAAAACCTTATTACAGCCAGCGCAAAAGTTCTACAACATGACCAGTGGAGGACCCAAAGATTGAATGCACTGTTTGCGGATCAGCTCTTGTATGTTTGTGAAGAACATTTTAAGAATCTTAACTTTCAGTCAAGATATTAATGGTTTTGGACGAGTTCGTCAGGATCCAAAAGCCACATTAAAATATACGTAGGTAATTGATTCACGAGCACCCGACATTTATTGAATGCAACGATAAACATTGAGGAATTGAAATAAATTAAGATACATTTTGTCTTCTTTTATCAAATTCCGATTTTGAAAAAAATTCGTAAACAATAGGATTTGTAGAATGTACTCAAATAAAAAGATCCTTAGATAGGGGCAGATCAGTTGAAGAACACTGCTTTGCAATATCATCAAACGTTTTGTTAGACATTGCTTAAAGGCTGATTATTCAGTCAAAATTTCAGGACTCGATGTAAAAAATGCTTTCTCGCATTTCCGTTTACGGGAAACTTACATGCGAAAGTTGTGTTATAATTTACATTTCTTGCAGTGTTGGGCACACATTTTGCTTCTATTGTCTCGGATGGCCTCTCTGAAAGAGATCGTCTCCGCCCGATACGATCCAAGACGCAGCGAAGCAACGGAGCCGTTATCAGGCGCAGGTGCGACCTCATTCCGTCCCACGAGGCAGCGAGGGGGATCCCCGATATCGGCGGCGGCGTCCAGCGGCGGTTGGCAGCGCGTTATAAAAGGCGCGCGCGCGGGCTCCCAGGAGCATCCGCAGCCTGGACGATGGCTTCGCGGGCGTGGGCGTGGCTCGTGGTGTGGGCGTGCCTGGTGGGCGGCGCCCTCGCCTCCTGCACCTTTAGCCACCGCAACCTGCTCGCGCGCCAGCCGCTGCTGCTGCGCCCTGGCGGCAGCCGCGACGCCCGCGGCTTTGTTCACGTTGACGCCTCCGCCAACGTCGTCCTCAAGGTGCGTCCGCCACGCAGCCTGCACGCAGTTGGTGTTAGCAACTAATACGTAGCCAATACAGGACACTTTACACCTCTCTCATACCATTAATGGAAGACAAGTACTCACTAGCAAACCTAGTTATGTGACGTTGAAAACCGGCCACAAATTCAATTTTCAATACGTAAACAAAACCTTTTTACAGTTATGTCGTTTCTAATAAACATATTATTAACAGATTATTACTATCATAATTTTTTAATTTTCGTTTTATTTATATATTAAATTTTATATTTTTGGAATATAGTAAATGTAAATATAATAGAAATACAAACAACACAAAACTCTGATTTGCTAGCGAACTTGACAGTGACTTTGACTAGCGAACAAATGGGCAGAGGGGGGCGGGGCTATTTAGAAGGTTACAATGTAATATTTCACTTTTTATGTATCACAATAATGTGCATTTTTGCTTCTTAAAACACCCACATACGAATTTAATGTTCACAGTTTTGATGCACTTGAGATCCAGAAGTCTCAGGTAGGGTTCTGTGCTGGACAAAATCAATTTCATTCTGTGTTTGATGTTTGTTCACATCAAAGGGGTAAAATCTGTGCAAAAAAACAATAAAAGATAGCTTTTCGGGGGGAAATCAGCAATTCAAAGAAATTCAATTGCAGTTCAGAGAAACAATAATTCAGGAATCAAAGGGTTTGAAGATAACCCTGAAGACGGATGTCCTCACGTCCTCCTAAATCTAGATCAGAGCAGTTTGCAAGCGTACTAGTGAGAAAATACACCCCCTAGGGTTGTTCAAAGTAGCTTTGAAAGAAAAAAAAGCTCTTTACTGCACTCAGCGGAATAAAAAACTGCGCTGCAGCTTGTGCTAGCTCTTGCTGAGCGAGTCATAGGGCAAGGTGTTCTTTGGTACATACTTATAGAGATACACAGAGAATACAGAGTATTCATACCTACCAAGACAAAATGAAAGCCGCGAGTTTTGATAACCTCGAACAACCCCACCAATATCGGTATTGTGGTGAGTTTTCGTTGGCATTTACAATGAAATAATTATATGAGTCGTCATTGGCAACAATATTATTTATTACAATATCAGCTTTCGATGGTTTTAGCCATCATCATCAGTTTTCTGCTGATGATGCTACTGCACTAGTGCACACTTTTTGTGGCTTCCGTACAGCAGAAAACTGATGATGATGGCTAAGCCATCTAAAGCTGCTATTGTAATAAATAATATTGTTGACAAATGACGACTCATATAATTATTTCATCACCAATATCGCAAATTTATTTTCATTAGAGTTGCACAGGTTCTGCTTTCTCGCTATACTTCGTACTTGCGTAGTAAATAGGAAGTTATTGTAATGTTGCAGTGGAAAGCGCCAATCTTTTGTCAGAAAAACTCGAATTGTGGGAGCTTGATATCCAGAATGTAGATGAAACTTATTTCTGTATGTAGTAAAGTACTTCTAACATGTTATTCAGCCATAACCCAAGTTTTGAGGGTCCTTGATTTCGAAACAAATGTTTTGCGGCAACATGCCCGTTCATCCGTGGTCGACGCTAGCGCCCAAATAGTTGAGACGATTTCTCCAAAATTGATATTCGCGATCGACATAAATGAACTCGAGTCCCTGCAAATTTCAAAAGGATATTTTGATTTTGCGGGTACTTAACACGAAGACCCGACAAGTTATTCAAACTTTTCTTTATATTTTCGAAAGTTTCACATATTACAAGTAATGGGGCGGTGTTTGTGGAATTGTAGCAGCATTAGTTGTAATTGCTTGTAAGTAAGGAATCTATGTAATATCACCCGATTTCAGCACCGCGTTTAGGAAATACCTATGTAATTATATAGGGACCTTATTTTATTCAAGAAAATCGTCCTATTTCTTCTATTATGTTTTTATAAAACATCTTACCTCATTATAAAGCTTTCAGCATGCTTTCTTTTGGTCTCTGTAGTCTGAAAGTTCTGTAAAAATGAAAAGTAAAAACAAAATGCTGAAATATTGCCGTCATCCGTATTACTGTCTGACAACAAGATAGTTATCTATAGTCAATTATTCAAAATTAAATGCACGTAGAAAATTATGACACAATTTTAACTGAATAATCTGACCTCTACACCTTGTACCAATTTCCATAACGACAAATAAATATAACTTGTTTCCAACTGCTACTGTATGAATAAAGTACAAAAAATCGTATGGTAAGGTGAATAGACAAGTGATGTGGAAGTATTTCACAAAGTTTATTTCATTCAAACTACGATAACTTAATTTCTAGAATTCCAAAGAGTTCACAGCGAACAATTTCTGGTTGTTTCTTTACAGACCGGAGAAGAAATTGAATTGGCATGCCCAGGTACAAACAACTACCTACAAGGCAGTAATGTTCTACCTCTTCCTAACATCACAGTTGCCTGTCAATCATCATACACCTTCACTGCCGATGGAATATCGATATCTCTCAACCAGGTAATAAAGCTAGTGTTCTCGATTTTTCCCCATTTACGTTAGTCCTCATACAATTATTTGTTTTATATTATTTCTCATTAGGAATTTATAATGCCGTACTCTGCTGTAATCTTATATTCTGTTATTTGACTGTTTTGTACTATTCATTGAAGTATTGACTCTTCGGAAAAATTCCACAAATTCAATTCACAGAAATCTGGAAAACCGAAAATTAATGATATCATCCCATTACAAGTGAAACACATTAACTCAAAACCTTTCTGTTTTGACGTATTTATTTTTTCTGCTCCGTGTTATATTGAACTTTAGACTGGATATATCCACTATGTCAACGACGACTATACGATGCAGTACATTTTGTGCTTAAGATGAATGTGAAATAACAAATAATATTAAGCGATAAGCTCCCGACATATGTGGTATTTTATTGTATGTTCTTGTAAATAGGGGGTTTGCGTGTTTGTGTGTGTGTACTCGCAAAGAGAGCAGGAAAAGGGAAGGAGAGAATGATCATGCGCAGCCCGTGGCCCGTTTGGTAGGGTACTGCTCCGGCATTCGCCTGGTGTTGATCGGAGAAACCACGGAAAAGTACTCATCAGGGCATCTATCTGCTATAATTCTCCTCCAGACAGCGGCTGAATACGATCCAGCCATTTAGCCTCCCACCGCCGGAACTCAAACTCTAGGACTTCCCGAGAGATCAGAGTCATCACAGAGGCAGAGGCAATGGTAGGTGGCTGTAAACTCTGTGGTCAATATTGTTGAGAAGTAGACGCCGTCTCCACATGGAACCAGAGGTGACATATGATTTCGAATCTTTTTTGTTTCAATGGGTGCGCCCTGGGGAGTGGGAATACTGTGGTCATAGGGAAATCGCGTCTGTCACAGCACATACGTCTATTACTTAAGGATATTCCCCTACCCCGTTCTTTGTTAGATGATAAGAACAATCCTTTCCTCAAATCTCACAGTGCATTTTTATGTACTCAATACATGACACCTGTCAACATGGGCTAATAAAGTAGAAAACTATAAGAATCCATTTAAAAAAATCAAAATATGTGTCAGTATGTCTGAAATAAACATTGCAATAGAATAATATTGTACAACCGGGCATGCGTCTCCTCCATACATTCGTTTTAGTGCATATTTTCAACTGTTGAGAAAGTATGCAAGGAGAACGTATTCGGTGAGGTATGCGGTATGAAAAGTCCTGGTGTTGTATGACCTTTAATTCAAAGAAAAGCTGACTTCATGTCTCCAAAGACGCTGAACATTCAGTATATTAAGTATCGCATTGTCTCATGAACAAAAACGTACTATCTTCTTCACAGATAAGATAGTTTTCATGACTTCAAAACAATCTGAAGATGAACTCAGGGCTTCAAGGTTGGTGATTTCTTAAACAGGATTATGTAATGTACTTTTTGAATGCATACACATTTATTAAGGAAATTATACTCCAAAAATTTAACGGTTGTACTTTTTGTTTTATAAACTAGCAACATAGGGTTAGTGCATTAACAAAAAATTAATATTTACATAAATAAATTCATTTAAAAATTTGAGTTTTAAAATATATTGTTTTAATATTCTTAAAAAACGTTAAAAATATTTACATAAAGCAACTACAGTTTTGGTTCAAGAACTAATTCAAATCGTATGTAATCCAGAAAAAATAGAATTGAAATAACTGTAACTGATAATAGTAGTTCTGAAGTTTTGTCCCTGATCAACGCCAATTTTCTCTTATTTAAATTCAGTGAACACCCAAAATAAATTTTGAAAATTATTTTTCTCAATGTACTCTTTTTGGTTATTGATATATTGATCCAATTAGCAATGAAAAATGTGATGCAAATTAAATTAATAAAATTAATGTTTGGAATATATTACACATGAAGGTTATACAAAATAAAAAAAATTGAGTAAGTATTTACTCACATCATTAAGAAAAATATCCTAGTAAAATTTTATATTGTAATATCAGCCAGGATAGGAAGGTAGGTGAAAGGGAGTAGGTAGGGGCCGGTTTCACCAAACAAAGAGTAAGAGTTTACTCTGGAGTAAATCATGTTTACTCGAGAGTAACTTATTGGAGCGTTTCACCAACACTTTACTCGAGTGTAAATCGCTTACACGAGAATAAATTCGAGAATAACTTTACAGCCGCGAAAATCCGTCGGGTAAAGTACGGATTAAATTCAGTTTTTCAACGTGCATGTTATCCTCGAAGTGTTGTTACGGTTCGACGATTACGAATGATAGTATTTGTAGACGATTCCAGCAATGATTCGGAATATTATCCACTGTGCGAAGACAAAGGGTGCCGAGAGAGAATGGATTTGGTTTTAATTATGACGATCGGAATTTGTCATGAGGTTATGTTTGACAAATCATCTGTTTAACGTCATCAGATACATTGTAACTGTAGAGAACTTCTAAAGTTCTTTTTCTCCCATGTGGATATCGAAATATAAGGTAGTACGTACGCGAATACGACAACAAAGGAAAAATAATAAATACAGGAACTACAAGTACTAAGAAATATTCATTTTTTTATTCAGTAAAAACTGTATGTGACGAATGGGGGAATCATTTGCCACGTTTTCTCTTGAGTTCCAGAATCCTTTCAACACTTTATACAAATAGTTGAAAGGTGAATAAAAGTAATAATAATAATAAAATAATAATAATAAATAATAATAATATAATAATAATAATAATAAAATTTAGAAAACACGAGATCAGCAACATTGAAAAACTTAACATTTTCGTTTCCTAGTTATAGAAATTAATTTGCACCGCATCGGTAAACGAACTGCAAATTTGATTTTTTCTGGCATTGGCTGAAAAAATAGTAACTCGACTCAGGGAAGAAGAATGAATATTATTAAGAAATAAAGACACAAGAAACTAGGAAATAAACTATGCTAACTTCAACCACACAACCCACACAGATTATAATCCAAGAACTCCGAAACTGAAATGAAATATATGAATATAAGGAATTAGTCAAAGGTCGCGTTGGTCCGCATTGGTTTCCCAGCGTCATTCTCGGCTCACAGCTCTTAAAATCACTCTCAAATATTGTGTGTTCAGCTGACTTGCGGAGTAAATCGAGAGTATGTAGTCTAGAGAGTAAATAACCTTAGAAGCATGGTGAATACGCTCAAATTCTAGCTCGACGAGTTACTATCTTAGAGTAAATGGTTACTCTCGGGTAACTACTCCCAACTTTACTCGGCTGTTGGTAAAACCGGCTCTAAGTAGAGGTAGATAGAGGAATAGGTAAGTAGATAGGAAGAAAGTAGCGAGGGTGGAGGTGAGTAGGAGGTAAGTGTAGCGTCGTGTCGCGCTAAAACACAGAGGCAAGCACGTAACGGACGGCGGGCATGCCAGATGTTTAACAAAGGGCGGAGTGATAACGCACTGGGACTTTCCGTGGACGTGGCGTGGTAAGGCGGCGGTAGGGTGGAGGCAATGAGGGCGGCAGGTAGCGCCGAAGGGCCTATATAAGACCCCGAGACAATGTTTCGATCTTCTTGTTTCCCAGCAGCGTCGGTGGCAGGTGGTGCGTGAGTTTGTGCAAGTAGGTGCACGAGGGCAAGGGGCCTAGGGCAAGCTAGGGGCGTGCGCAGGTGGAGTGCAGGTGGCATCCTGTTATTAACCTTCCCTCTGGGTCCATTGGTTGCGCGTGCGCAGGTGGAGTGCGCAACCTGCTATAAACCTTCTCTCCGAGTCCAGTATTTGCGCGTGCGCAGGTGGAGTGCCCATCCGACTATTATAACCTTTCCTCTGACTCCAGTGGTTGCGCATGCGCAGGTGGAGTGCGCATACTGCTATTAACCTTCTCTCTAAGTCCAGTAGTTGCGCGTGCGCAGGTGGAGTGCGCATCCTGCTATTACCCTTCCCTCGGAGTCCAGAGTCGGTGGTTGCGCGTGCGCAGGTGGAGTGCGCGTTGGAGCCGCTGCACGAGGCGCGGGTGACGGGCGACGCGCGGCGGTGCGCGCCGCGGCTCTCCCACGTGGAGGTGGGCTTCGCGCTGGCCGGGGGCTTCCTGCCGCTGTACGAGGTGTGCCTGGACGCCGACGCGCTCGCGCCCGCCGCCACGCGCCACTACGTGGTAGCCGGTGGACGCTCCACCCGCGCGCCCTCCACCGTCAGCGCCTTCCTCTACACGCAGCTCGTGCCCAGCAAGGGTGAGCACCGCGGCTTTCGCTACGACTCACCGATTTAGCACATAATGTTATGCCTGCTTCACATGGTCAATTTTGCATCCTTTTTTCATCATTTTTCTGTACAGAAAATGGATGGAAAAAGGACGTTCGTTTCTACGCAGTATGTTTCGGTGACGAAACTGAATGAGTGTTTTACACGGTCATTTCTGTCTTTCAACGTAATCACGAAGAAAATACTTCCTCCGGACGCCGCATATAGCGCTGAAGTTCAAATATTTGAACATCGCATCTATGGTAACAAGTTAGGTTATGTTAGGACTGATCTCGGAAGCGACAATATTAGAATACAGTGCATAATTTATTTCTCTTTACATAATCACTTCACATTACAATTCAACACATCAGAACGCTCTCAGGCAACTACAAAATGATCATATCGCTCCACACGCATAACAAACTAGAGAAACTCCCGTAAAGTGCCGCCAGGAGCGTGGTAGTCAAACTGGATGAAATCTGTACCGAAAAATTAAGCATGCGTCATTTTTTCGTACAAATTGCATCCAATATGTCCTGTATATTTTCTGTACCGGCGAAAAATGATGAAAAAATGATCGTGTGAAACAGGTTTTAGTTAGTATCGGATCGTAATTAAAGGTACTGAGGAATCTGAATTTCTAGAGCTCTTAGAGGATTTCGGAAGTAGGATAGAGGAATCTGAAGTCTGACTTCAATATTTTTTTAAAATTTTGTTTCGTTACAATATTTAGATATTATACACAATCAGATTGGATAGTGTACTTGATTAATAGTACTATACTGTACAAATATTTATTGTTTTTCATTAATAATATCAATATTGGAATTAGTCGATTCGTTAGCTAACCTAACTTACTTATGTGTCAATAGGCTAAGAAATATCCGCTTTATTGAACAAATGTTCAACTCTTCTACAGCATAGAATCGAGTAGCGAGAATTTGTTTTATAACTACCACTGCCTACATATTTTGCCATATTCATAAGAGCAATGGTCACATCCAAACTCAACATTTTTTTACAAAGGAATATTCCCACTAGGTTCGGCAGAAGAAATTTACATTCTAAAAACGTACTGCATTTCTTGGAACGAATTGAATGGAAGGAGCGTTCACTCTGAAGTTACTCACTCTCTGGTATATGCTCTTTCTGAATCTAACGGGTTTTGAACGTTGTGAGCCAGAGATGGTAAGAGGACACACTAGCATTAGGATGGGGTGTGTCAGTTTTTCTTAAGTATATCAACTGAAACAGAAAGAATTATGGTCTTACTGGCCTCAACTGCGACCATGGCGCTGGCTGAAACATTGCAAAAAAGCTCTCTTGTTCGATACAATATTATATGGTAATATTTCATTAGTTGAATTTTATAATACATTGTATTACAAACTAAACACAGTATATCTTGGGAAAATCTTACAATAAATATTTCCACTGTATATAAATAGTATATATTAAATAATAATTAGTTCAAACAAAATTCAAGCTATTTATTTTGAAAGAGGCAAAAAGATTCGGCTAATATTAGCAATATTTCATAAATCATTGTACTTCTCTACAAAGAGAGAACACATTCTTAGAAGACACATAAAATCAATGAGAATTTGTTTATTGATACGGTTAGTGCTAATGGCAATCAATTCTTGCAATGTGTATTAAGTGATTAATATATTAAGTGCTTTTGTGAATCACATTTACTTTATTATGAATTTGTAACAAATTTTTCGCTCTTTTTATATTCATTCCAAAAATGGATAATAAGAAATCAATGTCATAAAGCTTTATTGATAAAATAAAGAAACCATTACAAATGTATATGTAAAAATTACTTTTATTACAAGACGGAAGCGATTTAAAAATTGTTTGACTTGTTAATAATTTCACTTATGATTGATTTGTAGCTTACGTACAAAGCACGCAAGTGCAGTCATTTACTGTTCAGCTGGGCTCAACGAACGCTAACAAATATATTACATACAACAATTACCTCCAGTACAACCTCTTGACGCCTCTGGAAGATTTCGTCTATGGACCTCAACGTATGGCAGTTTCTTTCTACCTGAATTCGGTTTGTAAATAAACAACACTGGTTGCCATATTATTATTTATTATAATTTTTATATATACTAGCTATAGACTCCATTTATTTATATTTAATATTGAATAATTTTAGAAATAAGAGCGGACTTCCAATAACTCAATTGTAATGTGAAGTAATGTGTTTAAAATATTCAAGAACATTCTTTTTAATTTTTAATAGTTTTCTTCAAGATTTGCAAGATTTTGCGACTAACCAGATCATTTATTGAATTTCTTTGACTTACATTGCTAATTTTGAGGGATGTGAAACAAATGAATTGCATGTGACCTGCAAATTCTGTTTCATAAGAAACAGTATGGTATTAATGAGTATAACAGTATATGGTTACCAATTAAAGCAAGTAATTTCATTTATATAGCAACAGCTTGCATAATGATTCTTCTCATTTTACTTTCATAATTGTTTTCTTCTTTCTTGAATGTTTTCAAATGTTGCAAGTCTGTTGTTAACTTGCTATCTATTCCAACACTAACACTATCTATATGTGAGGAATAGTGTTTGTGGGCAGTTTGTGTTGGGAATTGTGCTAGCTTAGAAGGTACACAATGTCAGAGAATAATTTAACTTTTAAATAATTACTTGAAAGTTTGACTCGTGATACAACCTCAAAATAAGATTTTCCGTGAAAATGGAAATTTTTGTTTTCTTTGTTTTTTTGTGCACTGAGATGTGTACTTATTAATGTTTAAACCGTTTGTTTCTAAGTGTTTCCGTTATTTCTTTATTTGTACTCCTCCGAATGCGCGAGAACGCGCCACGTCCTACGGCCATTGGCAGTTTAGGTTGCCATGATGGCTGAAAATAAAACAAAAATTAAGATTATTTCCTGAGAAATTCTAAAAATGTAATTTAAACTAATCTAAAGATTTTATTAGAATCAGATAAACGTTAAAATTGATTGTTTGTCTCCTGAAATACACAATAAACACATACACACGCATATATATATATATATATATATATATATATATATATATATATATATATATATATATATAAAGGCAATCTAGCTAATCTTTAAAAACGTCTTTATTGCTATACAGCATTAGAGAAAACTCTGAGTGTACGCATGTTCGGATGCTCTCATGTGCGTGGGTGCGGTTCCATCACTCATGGCTAGAGTAGTACTCCTCGTGCACCAATCAAAACGCAATAGGTTTCATTTGACACCTCTCGATCTCCTGACGAGGAAATAATAAATTATTTTTGGATCCGGCCAGAAGATTAAAAGCAATTTCCAAAGACGTGTTTTTTCGTATTTCAGAACAACGATCTTAGTGATAATCCCAGGAATAAAATCCAACGCTTCCTAAATAGATCAGTGTAGGTGATTATGATTAAATTACAGTACTCAAAGGCATTTTTCTCTCAACGCGCAATAATTTTCATTCAAGACTTTGGGAACCCTGATGTTGACATCTTTAAGTGAATAATTGAATTACCAAGTGTAACGCGCTGCATATTTCATTTCAATTTTGATTCGAATTAACGTACGTTTTAAAATAAATTTGCGAAAACCGACAGTATTGCCTCGGAATTTATTAAAATTGAAGAATTTCAAGTGAATAAGAGAAAACAAACTGTGAGTAATGCTAGAGAATGAATGAACGTTCTTATGTTCGACTTCGCACTTTTCCGTTCTTACGTAAGTGTGCAAAAACCGATTTTAAAATGAATCTGACCCACATTTGTTAAACTTAAATAACACTTTATTTACATAAAAGTACAAAACAGTTGCCTTTTAATGTTAGATTCGCATGCAACGCTAGATTCGCAACCAAACGAATAATCAAAAATTAAACAGAGTTTGTGAATTTATAATCTCTTCAACAATTAAGGGAAAAATGTGGAAATGTTAAGGAAATACGGGGTAGGATCAAATATATATGAAGAAAGCTGGGCATGAAAGAAATGAAGTATGAAAGATATTTTCAACACATTAAACTACTTTTTAAAATAAAACAGTGTACGACGTTGGCTACGCCACATTTTACTAACTTATTATAAGATGTTATGCTTTAGATTTCACACACCATGAGGTGTAATTTTTTTTAACTTTACAAAACTGAGAAATGAAAATATTTGAAGTTCAAATTCAAGGGAAAACTATAAGTAATAAGTTCAGAATAAAATGAGATGAGTGAGAACTTACCAAAACATCTTTAAACAGGCACATATCTCATTGTAATAAAATATGAAAATGTTTTATTCAAATAAAATATTTTTAAACACATTATGGTATCATAAGTATAATCAAAAGTATTATCATAAGTAAATCGTAAGTAATATAAGTAAGCATATATAAGAGCTACCAACTTCACAGTACGGAATACCATCCTCACTGTACGGAGAGGGAGGCAAGCCTGGTCAGAAAGGGAGCCGAAAAACGTAAAAATAATTATTTTGAATATTATATTATCTTTACCCCTTCCACCTCTTGTTCTTACTTTGTTGTTTTGACTACTTTGCAGTGTAGAGAAAGTTATGTAATCATTCGCCAGAAAACGGCAAATTTTTGTCAGAAAAAACGATACCGGGCTCTGGTATCGAAAAAGTGGATAAATCCTGTCGTTTAATTAAGAAACAAATCCTCTAACACGCGGTGTAGCAAGAATCCATGTTTTTCTTAATACCTAAAAATCGATTGACGACCAAACGACCTTCTGTCTCTCCATCAGTGGTCAACGCAAGCGCCTAAACCGTTCTGCCGATTTTCTGCAAAATTGATATTCCTTGATCGAGCTGAACTGACTGGAGGCTTAGGGGAGTTTGTAACGGATATTTTGATTGTTGAGGGTTTTTTGAATTAATCGAACATTTACCTTTTCTTGCCTCTGCCCGATTCGTTTCATACGGCGTTTGTTTGGCGTAGTGCTATGAATACCGGCAAGTTAACTTTGAGTATCTAAGCTTGTTTGGAAACATGCTGCTTGAAAACACTTTTGGGGGTTTATGTAGCAGTACAATATTGCGTAGCATTTAGAAACAAGCGCGAGAAAGTATGTGCTTTACCAGCCCCACTAGTTTTAAAGGCTGAAACTGTTACCACTGCGTGCGCAGGTGCCGCTGTGGGGTCAGTTCGCGTCGGGCTTCTGGCGCTCGCTGGAGAGCTCCGTGCGCGAGGTGGCGCGCAGCGAGGGCGACCTGCTGGTGCAGACGTCGGCGGTGGGCGTGGCGCAGCTGCCCGACGCGGAGGGCCGGCCCACGCCCACCTACCTGCACGCCACGGCCGCCGGCGCGCGCCTCATGCCGCTGCCGCAGTTCCTCGTGAAGAGCGTGGAGAACGCGCGCGGCGAGCAGGTCGTCTTCGTGCAGATCCCGCCCGGCACGCCCGCGCGGCAGCTCGTGCAGATGCAGGTGCGCCACGAAACATCGAGGTTCAAGTGAATGGGTGCTGATTGCGGTGGTTTAGCTACTACGAGGTCAATAGTCCCCTAAATGTAGATACATGAGGGGAGGTGGCAATGTTTCTCTCCCGTTGTACTCGTAATGTAATATCCGGCGCCAACCTACACGTCGACATATATGGATTTTCCTTTCTAGACGTCCCCGCCAGTGAGTCACCGGAACAGCCGGGATAAGCTCTAAGATTCCAACTCCTAATTGGTCTCTTAGTGCCTGTGTATGTGGTAGTGGCGCATGTAAGGGTAATGTTACGCGCGCACTGGGTCTGCAATTGGGCTGTGTCTTTTGAGAGGCAGATAAAAGGATACAATCGAACTGTGCTTACGTGACAAGAGAGTTCGAAGATTGCACTCGGGCTGTGACGTTTTGGGAGGGAAGTAAACGGATGCAATCGGTCTGCTTCTTTTTTTCCCAATGCAAATAAAAGGATGCAATCGGACTGTGCCTGTTTGAGCGGGAAAGTAAAACGATGCATCGGGTTATGTCTTTTTGGGGAGGCAAGTAAAAGGTAGTGCTGTGTCTTTTTGGGATGGAGAGAAAAGTAATGCAATCGAACAGTGCGTGCTTGAGAGGAGGTAAAAGGATGTAATCAAACTCTATGTGTTTCAGGGAGGGAAAAAGGATGCATCGAACTCTGTGTGTTTGAGGGAGGATAAAGGAATGCAATCGAACCCTGCGTGTTTGAGTGAGGGTAAAAGGATGCAATCGGTCTGTAACTGCTAGAGGAGAAAGATGCAATCGGAGTCGTGCGGTCCGCGCGTTGCAGGAGGTGTGCGAGGACGTGTGCGCGCGGCTGCGCTGGCTGCCGTGGCGCAGGGTGCCGCCCGCCAGCCGCTCCGTGCTCTGCTGCCGCGCGGGCGACCCCCTGCTGCGCCGCCTGCTGCCCACGCCCTTCGCCCACGACGACGCCCTCGCGCGTTCCCTCGCCCACGGCGGCGGGGACGCCCCGCTCCTCGAGGGCGGCGCCGACGCAGCGGAGTCCACACCGAGCAACTGAAGATTCTTTCAGAATACACCCAAGCGCTAGGTTTCTCGTTTTCGGAAAACGGGTCAAATTGAGTTTTCTGGCCAGTGTTTTAATTTTTCGCTACAAGTAGTGATTATTTCATTATTTTTTACTACAAAAGTACGTTTACACTTTCAGAAAAATATTCTACTTTTAACTAATTCTTCTGGCTCTAGACTGCGTTTTGAAGCAAACGATTCAATTTCCAGCGCATGCTATTTCCAGACCATCTAGGAAAAGCAACCTATATCCTATGGGTCTCAAACTAGTAGCAATGGGTGCAAACTAGCAGCAAACTAGTAGAAACAGGCAAATGCAACATCCAACGGATGTAGGCTCTTATATGATATACATAATCATCCTCTATTGGAATATTTAACGAAGAAAATAATTAATAATATCCAAATTCGCGGATTTTATCAATTTTGTAATATTTTATGAGATCAATGAAGACAAGAATATTCTGTGTACTTAGTCAAGTAAAAAAATTGAGTTTTTCCCCCTCCTTTTTGTAATTATTTACTATGTGAATTTAAAATATTTTTGCAATAGTTAAATACGAATTATTTACATATCCTGATGATATTCATAATTCGTTATTTAGTTTGTCGTTTAATCGTTTCATCTCGGTACATTTTTAGAAATTTGTGAAGGGTACTCTCTTTAAAAGTTTGAGAACCACTCCATTAGAGTTGCCTCCTCTTAACCCAATGAATGTAATGCACATATGATGGCACAATTTGCCTTTCAGGAAAATTACTGTGTTAAACTAGCGGAAATAAAAACCCAACACATACAGGAGTACATTATATTATTTTTATTTTTCCGCTATTCCATTACCTTCTGTGTAATTTAACATATTAAAAGTATTAAAGATCAAATTAAGAGATATCTTGAGACCCACAAATTCCAATTCACAATGGAGATCATGTTTTCGATATTTTAAAAAAATATACAAATGTTTGATTTGAGAGTAATGTTGACTAGAAAACTAGATTTTAATATAAATTATGTATTAAACAGCTGCAGTGAGACTGCGCGAATATACTAATAATTTTTTCCATAAACAAGAAGCAAGTGCATTCAATACAAAGTTTCTCTACTTTCTAAATCCCGTACATGTACTATACATGAAAATAAAATTTAAAGTTTCTTCTGTCGAGCAAAAAATTATTGCTAATTTTAAATTACTTTTGTAAAATATACGAGGTATTTTGTGCCTCAATATTATCAAGATAATATTTTGTTGTAACAAATTAAGTCTTATAGATTGTCAAAGCGATCCAAAAATTAAATGTTTCTCAGTAATACATTTTTGATAAATCCGAACAAATTATTCCCACATATCGTTTTAAATTTATTTGTAATGCTCCAAGAAAATGTTGAAACCCATTAGTCAATTAGTTAAAGCTCATTAGAATTATATGATTAGTATTATTAGCTTAAATTAAATTTCTAAAATTCCATTTCTTCTTCTAGCAGAAATTTAATTAAAAAGTCTTGGACACAACCGAGCAAATACGCTCAAACGTCAGAGCTTTGTTTATACAAAAATATGGCACGCTGATAGAGCAAATGTTTTCCCCTAAAAGGGAAGCTTCTTCACGCCAAGCAAAATACGGAAGAGAGCGAAAGAATATGTAAATGAAAGGGACTCGGCTCCCTTGTAAGCGCAGGTAAAACCCAAGGACTGGTCCTTGTTTAAATCAAAACTTCTTCCACTTTCCTTCCAGCTACTTTACTCTTTTCCCTCTCGCCAGATAAATTTAACAACACCAGTCGTTACTCGCCAAAAACTTTCGGTCCAAGTTGCGCCGAAACGTTTTTCAAAAAGAAGGAAAGGAACAGGCGCCGCCTTTATCTCGGCTTACTGTAAATAATGCATTGTGCTTGCGTCAAACAAAGAAATACCGGAAACGCAGGTAAGAAAGTTGCTGGCAAGTCGTCACAAAGCGCGAAATCCGAACGAAAGGCTGCTGCCGGCGCGTTGCTCTCAGCACAATTACTCAATGAATTATGGAAGGCGTCCACAAGAGCCTTTTTTCCTCGGGAACGGCACTGGCGCGCACCCAACACACGCGGGTGGCGCGCCCAGACGGACTTCACAAGTTTGTAATTAGAAGTTAGAAATGTGGCATTCAGGAAAAAAAGGAGGGCCGAACACATTGTTTTCGCTGCAGAAAGCAGAAAGGGCGATTTCTCGGGCTGGAAATGACTCTTTACAGGAATATTTTCTATTAGTTAAGTACTTTGCCTTTTGTAATTGTTGTAGGAAGTTTTATAAGCGCTCTTTTAAACAGGGTGCGAACCACATTCAATGTTGCTGAGGCGTAATGTTTGCGATGAACGTAAGATATTTGCTTGGGTATCCAATTATTGCTCTATAACCGATAAATGTTCGTTTCAATAATATGAAATATGTGGCTCCAACCAAGCACAAATACAAATAGAATTACATTTAAGGAGAACATTTAATTACTTTTAGATACAATTCCCTACTTGGTTTTAATTTAATGTTTTTTTTAATCTATTGTAATTTTATAATATATTTTATCTATTGTGTAGCAAATAAAAATGGTGATCCAAAGTAAAAATTAATAAAGTTATCTACCCAGTTAGATAATGAAAATGTAACAAACTGTTTTATGAGGCTTCTGATCAGATCTGCCCAGTACTACGATCGACCACGGCGCTAGCTGATGCAACAGGTAGCAAACAAAGATGAGGAAAAGTCACTTTCTAATATGGCTGGCCACAATGGGCTGCCAGACACGACAGGCAGTACACCATTTCCCGACGCATGGAGAGGAAAAGAAACCGCCATGGATAAAAACAACGCTTGTGCGCGTAACGTTAACCTCTTTAATTAAATATATACAAAATATATTTAACTGACCTCTCTCCTCCATGAACCGGCAGTATCATGCTCAGTTTTGTTGCGTTCCTGGGGTAGCTTCAGGGGATGACGATTTCGACTACCTACACCGGGTACACGCTACGTCCCTGATGGTGACACATATTAACCTTTCCACTAGACATACATGCGGGCTTCTAGGTCTGTGGTCAGCAGACTCACATGGCCTACCGTAACGACACTATACATGAAAGAAGGGACAAACAACCATGACCACGGCGGGACTAAAACCCGCGACCCTTCAGAGCCCTTGAGGTGCTGAGTTGGTCCACGTTCTAATCCCCTCGGCCATCTAGGTCGGCCATCATCATGCTCAATCAACTGTGAAACGACACTAATCCTAAACCATATAGTTTTAACGCAATTTAAGTATTTGAAAGTAGTGATAGTATAGTAGCAATTGCAGTCAAGAGAACATTTTGAGGAATATTAAGTTTGAAAATGAAATTTAAGGTTTAAAAATTCGTAACTTTCGAGTGAAGAGGCTGAGGGAAGCTGTAATAGGACGATTGAGAAATGATTTATGGTGAACAAAGAGGATTCGCCGCTCAAGAGGAAACAATCATCGAAAGAGATGTTCCAATTCTCAAAAGAGACAACAGAGTAATTTACAAGGTCAATTGAAATTCTGAAGGTAAAGTAAAATCAAACAAAGATTGGCTATTCGTTTAACGTTTACTAATTCATTGTGAATTAGTATGAATTAAATTTTTAATTTGTAATTAGAAAGGAGTATGGTGTATGGTGAAAGGTGGAGGTGGTATTATATTTGTGTTACATGTTAATTTTTTCATAAAAATGCAAAGAAAGTCAAGAAAAATAGCGCAACAGAGACATTGTATCGCTAAAGGAATTTGTTATGAGAGAGAGATTTTGTTATGGGAGAGAGCACTTTTATTTCATATAAAAGATTTCTTGAATTAATTGAGCTAGCCGAGTTTCAGAGCTTTTTAAGATAAAATGATTGTTTCAATATATAAATAAATACAATAAAAATCTAAGATTAAACCTGATGAAAGCCTTTTAGTTCATAGAGCCTTTTAGTGCGGACCAAGGTGGGACTAGCGACGGACTAATGTATTCGGTATTCATAGAGGAACGTCGAAGGATGATCATTTGTAAGATCCGATCCTCGCCTAGTCATGGTTTAACGTCAAACTAACCTCAATTTAGAATTGTGATTTGAGAGCTTGTGTGAAGTAATTCGAAGCTTCAAGGTGGAGCAATAAGAAGTGATGAGTATTTAAAGAGGAAAGTAATTTTATTTTGAGATGATTATAATAATAAATACGCTGATCATTTTTGTTAAATCAAATATCAATAAAAAATATAATGGAACCTGTGCGGCTTTTCTGAACAAATGCTGTCTCAATTTCAACGGTTTTTACGAGTACATTGACATCGCGAGAGACAGCTTTCAAGACAATTTAGCTGACTCGCTCGGCAACCAAGCAATTGGAAACCGAGATGTTTACCAAATTCATTAAATTGCAGCAGTCCCTCAGGTAATTAAAACGATTCATTAGACGAATACTTCAATTAAAGATTCGTATAAAGCATGTGCTCATCTATTATCATACAAACGTTTCTGACATTTTAGTTTAAGGTGGCTCATTTACCCATAAAAGTCGTGGAAAGAAATATGCACAAACCTTTCTTAACAGAAAATCTGGAAGTAATTTGTAATGGGAATTTCAAGATCATTGGCTTGGAGAGAACGTAGCATATTTCTCCAAGTTTTTAAACGAGTGATCGATAAGAAGGAAATTAGGAAATTGAGAATTTGTCCCCAAGTCCTACTTTACATTGCAGAGTAAGGTATCCAAAAACATTTTTATTCCTCTCGCACATACTCAAAATACAACAGAGAGGCAATCAAGTCCAGAAGCCTACATGAAACGACGCTGAAATGGGCTTATTCCGGAAAGGAAGATTTCGCTACCAGCCCTAGATTTGAACACTAATACAGATACATCGAATAATATAATTCTGGCATTTGAGGTTAAGCACAATTTAATAATATAATTGAAGAAAGAACTTTTTGTGGGAGACCAGGGAAATGGTTGACTACATTATATTGGCCCAGGTCAAGGAGAAAAATAATCCTTTTCATACAAGACGTATTATATATTAGCGTTTATTCAATTTTTCTAAATCTTGTGTTTCCAATAATATTTTCTTGGCAATAGGAAATCTGTTTGCACATGAGAGTTCCTCTTCGTTCTGGTTTCTCCTCATCCTTTTCCTTCCATCTATAGCAGGTGACATTCTTACAATTTCTACCTCTCCTTCATGCATATTGCAGATACTTTGTCTTTATGTAAATGAAAAATTATTATTAATGAGAAAAATAACGATCTTATGTCACGTAATATTTGATGATTCTTTGATAAAATGTTATTAGCAGAAACGTATTTCTATGTTATGAATATTCAATTAGTTTCTATTTATTGAATATATTTGGTAAGCATTTATTAGATTCTCTCATTTAAGAATAAATGAATATTATTTAATCGATTAAATTCCATGATAAAATAATACAAACAGTTTTAGCCTGATAATTGCGTGAGGAGAGTGAAGAGGCCCAATTTATATTTTTCATATTTTGGCATGTAAGTTATTTTTGAGGCAGTTATCAGTACTA